TACTTGCATTATTTACGGACTTATCTTCATTTCATTGCCATATTCACAACGTTTCAGCCGTTGTACGATCCGGCCTTTATGTCTATGTCTCTCTAAATATCTGTCTATATCTCTGAGATGAGGTATTATGATTATTTGCATTATTTACATTTTTCGGACTTTTATCTTCATCTTCATTGCGATATTCACAACGTTTCGACCGTTGTTCGATCCGGCCTTTATGTCTATGTCTCTCTATATATCTGTCTCTATCTCTGGGATGAGGTATTAGGATTACTTTACATTATTATTTATCCTCATCTTCATTGTCATATTCATTTCGGACTGTTATCTTCATATATATCTGTCTCTATCTCTGAGATGAGGTATTAGGATTACTTGCATTATTTACATTATTCGGACATCCTCATCTTCATTGCCATATTCACACGTTTCGGCCGTTGTACGTTTCGACCGTTGTATGCTTTTATGTCATGGCTTATATCTTCAGGATGATTGGATCATTATTTACTTATTCGAGTTATGAAGTATTATGATTATTTGTCTATTATTTGGACTGTTATTCTTATATTTATTGCTATATTCAAAACGTTTGAGCGCTCCGGCCTTCTTCAGGTGATTGAAATTTCGAACCGAACCCTGTATTTCGTCCACCAGGGTAGATTGTTCTACTTCCATGTGCCATGCCTCTTCTAGATGTCTCAGTTATTTCCCTTTAAGTCAACTCTCGAGGTTTTTGGTTCACCACAACTGTGGCCTGGTGCTGAACACAATACACTTTGGGTTTAGTCACTGGATCTAATCAACTTCATTATACACTGGTTAGATACAGTTTTGGACCCACAGAGCAATGAGTTCAATACCAGGCCACAGCAGTGGGGAACCAAAAACCTGGAGAGTTGAGTTAAAGGGAAATAACTGAGACATCCAGAAGAGGCATGGCACATGGAACTAGAACAGTCTACCCTGTTGGACGAAATAAGGGGTTCGTTTCGAAATTTCAATCACCTGAAGAAGGTCGGAGGTTACAACGGCGGAAACCTTGTGAATATGGCAATGAAGATGAGGATAATAGTCCGAATAATGTGAAGAATGCAAGTAATAATGATACCTCATTCCAGGGATATAGAAAGAAATCATTATTATCTAAAAAAATATTACTTTGTAAAAAATATTTTCTGGCTTTAAAATCACATCTCTTTATAATTTTCTTTTTTATAACTCTCTCTCTATCTCTCTCTCTCTCTCACACACACTACACCTCACTCTTTATCAATTTACTCACATTTCCCACTTACCTTACTTCTTTCTTCCATACTCCTCTCTCTCATTCTTTCCCCCTTTCTCTCTTCCTTTACATCCATCTTTCACTATCTGCACTCATCTCTCTTCCCCTTATCTCTCTTTGTCTCTCTCTTCCCCAACCTTATTTTCGCCTTTTTTCTTTTTCTGAACTACTCTCTTCTCGCCTTACATCTTTTCTTTCTAAATTTCGCTCCCTCACTTGTAATTCTCTCCCTCTCTCGTTATTCTGTCCCTCTCTCGCTATTCTCCCTCTCTCGCTATTCCCGCCCTCTCTATGTGTCTCTTTCTAACGCTCTCTTTCTACATGTCACCCTTTTATCTATTTTCATATAACTCTATCGTCCCTCGGCTCATGGCGTTATTTCTACGCCTATGTTTCTCACCATCTCTCTTCAACTTTCTAGCCTTTCTGTTTTTAATAACCTCTCCCCCTTTGACTCCCACTCTCACACTATTGATCTGTCCTCCATTCTTTCTCCTTCTCTTTTTCTTCTTTGCTTGCCTCTCACTGTCACCCATACAAACTCTCTTTATACTTACTTCGTTCTTTCCCCGTCTCTTCTTCTTTACTAGCCTTCCTCTCTCAAGCATACACGCTCTCTTTATTTCTCAGTCACAGTCTTTCTACTCCTTTTCTTTACTAGTCTCTCTCTCTCTCTTTTCCATACCCACTCTCTGTATTATCATTCATTCTTTCTCCTCCTTTTTCTTCTTTACTAGCTCCTCTCTCACACACATACACACTCTCTTTATTCATTCTTTCTTCTCCTTTTTCTTTTTTACTTGCTCCACACTCTCTTTATTTTTCTTTCATTCTTTCACCCGCTCTTTTTTCTTCTTTACTTGTCTATCTATATCTCTCTATCACATACGCACTCTCTTTATTCTTACTTCATTCTTTCACCTTTTTTTTACTTGCCTTACATGCTCTCTCTCTCTTCTCACACTCTCTTCATTGTTTCTCTCCTTTTTTTTTCTTTTACTCTCTCTCTCTCACACTCTCTTTATTTTTACTTCATTGTTTCTCCTCCTTTTTTCTTCTTTACTTCTCTCTCTCTCTCTCTCTCACACACATACACACTCTTTATTCTTACTTCATTCTTTCAACCTCTCTTTCTTCTTCTTTACACGTCTCTCTCTCTCTCTCTCACACACACACACAAACACACTCTCTTTATTCTTACCTAATTCTTAATTCTTACTTAATTACTTAATTCTTTCCCCTTCACACTCTTTATTCTTCTTTACTTGCCTCTCTCTCTCTCTCTCTCTCATGCATACACACTCTCTTTATTCTTACTTCATTCTTTCACCCTCTCTTTTTTTCTTCTTTACTTGCCTCTCTGTCTCTCCCGCATACAGATTTTTTTCCTTACTTCATTCGTTGTCCTCCTCTTTTTTTTCTTTGTTTGTCCCTCTCTCATGCATACACCCTCTCATTATTCTCTCTTCATTCTTTCTCCTCCTCTTTCTTTACTTACCTGCCTGTCTTTATCGCACAAACACACATACACCTACTCTTTTTCTTTCTCACCCACATTTTTTCTTCTTTTATTATCTAATTAACTACATTTTTTTTCCAGACCCAATCCTCAGACACGGCTTTTTCTTTTTTTTTCTTTTCATTTTTATTTGCAACTTCTGCTGCCATGAGTGATTATCTTCGACTTCTCCTGTCTCTCGTTTTCCTTTCGCCGCCTTCTGATCAGTGCAACTGGCGCACAGAAACACGGGCAAAAATAAGTACGATAAAGACATTACAAACAAACAAGGAAAAAAGAGGAATAATAGAATTCTTCTCAAATTCTTATCGCCCAGGCTCTTTACCGCCTCAGCTGATAACGTCCGTCTCTCAGCTAATTAGCGTCGCAAAAGAACAACATTGGAAGTAATGGATTTACTGGTCCAGCTTGATGGCTGAAAGAGTTGCGTATCTTTCAACCGTCATTGACGACATACCTCATCTTTTTTAAACTCCACCTCGATATTTTTTTAATCATTTCACCCCAAGCAAGACGATAAAGCCACTAAGATACATGGGTTATTAGATGTGGTAGAGAATAAGAATACTTTAGTGAAAATGACAATAAAAGAACAGAACTCAAGAAGACTGAAGATAGCAATTGATGCTCATTTTGAATTTTTTGAAAATTTAAGTAGAAGGGGAAAAAGAAACCGGAATAGAGTACCACAGACGAGAAATGTAAGAAAAGAAACTATTAGAGTAGAACTTAAGGTTACCTCTAGCTAATTCAGCAGTTAAAAAACATTGAGACCTATCTGCCAATCTAGTACGTGCAATTCGTGCAGTCGCAGTACCAATGAGGAGAGCTCATTTAAACAAATGCCAGGAAAATATTTACGGAAAAAAAACTGGAAACCTCGTCAGGGCAACGAAAAAGTTACGTCGAGATACCAGGTCTAGACCGATAATATTGAAAACCTTTCTTTAGATTATGGCGAGAATCTCGAGATATATATCACGCACATCAGATCAGATATGCAAGCAATATTCAATGGACATGACTTGATCCCAAATAATCTTCAACCTTGGCGTAAATCAAGTATATGTGGTACGGTCATATAACCCAATGTGAGACAGGTTAGTTAACTACAATCTCAGGTCTGAACAGACAAGAACGAATTTCATGTCATTTTTGTGACAAATTATGTGGCCCAAATGCTTTCTATGAAGCGTGAGAGATGGCCATCTTCTGCCAAGAAGTAATAGTCATTATATATTTGTTTTTTTAATCACTTCAGCACAAACAATTTGATTGAGAGTGAAACGGACGCAGAAAAAGTTAGTGAGGAGAAAGGACAACGAAATTGCATATATTCAGGATGACAGAAGATTGCGTCTGATGTTGCATTTAAATTTTTGAAGAACTTGACAGATTAGCAAGAAGCCAGAAACAGTTATACAGGTTTGGATTGCTTTACGGCATATCAGCCTCAATGGATTACTTAATGCCGACAAAATTTCATGGCTGGTAATATTTTTTTATGCTGTCCTTCAAAAATATATTTCTGGTAATATGTTTTCCTTCACAAATCTATTTCTGGTAATATTTTTCCTTCAAAACCTATTTCTGGTAATATGTTTTCCTTCAAAAATCTATTTCTGGTAATATTTTTCCTTCAAAACCTATTTCTGGTAATATGTTTTCCTTCAAAAATCTACTTCTGGTAATATGTTTTTCTTCAAAAATATATTTCTGCTAATATTTTTTTCCTTCAAAAATCTATTTCTAGTAATATGTTTTCCTTCAAAAATCTATTTCTGGTAATATTTGTAAAACATGTATAGCTGGTAATATTTTTATATGTTTTTTGAAAAATGTATAGCTGGTAATATTATTCTAAAATATTGCTAGTAATAATTTTTTCCTTCAAAAACTATGGTTGGTAATAATTATTTATAAAGCATTTCTGGTATTTAAACCTATGTTTACACTTTCACAGTATTTTGATCCCAGTTTCGGGGTTAACTATTTGCCCCTGGTAAGAACCCTAACAGGTCCTACCGTCCGGGTTAGAGTGGATCTGGGACCACCAGCAAAACCTTCTGATTTCACCCCTTGCTATCAGATGTTAGTTTATCATCTTACCCAGGAGGCGGATGTATTTTATCGTCATACCCAGGACGGGGTAAGTTATGTCCCTCTGTCCCTCCCCCCTTCAATATGTTGTTAGTGTCAAATGTATTGCTGGTAATAATGTATTGCTGGTAATATTGTGTTGCTGGTAATATTTTTTCTTCAAAAATTAATTGCCGGTAATATTTTTTTTACAAAAGTGTATTGCTTGTATTAAAACCTACATTTACACTTTTATAGTGTTTTGTCCCAGGTTTGGGGGGTGAACTATTTTCCCATAGTTGAGACCCTAACAGGTGCTACCACCCTTGGTCAGGGTGGACCTGGGAACACCAGCAATTAAGAGGTGTTTCCACACTCCACAAAGTCTCCTGATCAGAGGCCTTGCTGCCGGATGTAGTTTATCGTCATACCCAGCACGGGAAAGAATGGTTAAAATTAGGGCATAAAAAGATTAGTCTCTGTATAATACAGGCTGCGGCAGAAATACTTGATGATATGTTTGAAGAAAGTTGTTTTTCGTCGTTTAATAAGCAAGAGAAATCATCTTTTTGTTTAGCGTGTCCTTTCAGGTCGTTGGTGATCATGGCACTCCACATCCTCCTGTAGCTCTTAATAATTTTTTGTCACTATCTCTTTTCATCCATGTTCTATCATTTATTTACAGAAACTCGTTAGGTAAGTTATGGGCTGTTTTCCTCTTTTCTTCAGTATGTCCTGAGAGTGTCAAGTTTACCTAACCGTCTTTCCTCACGATGTATCATAGAAATATACATTGATTATTTCTTTCTTTCTGTCTTCTTTCTTTCTTTCTTTCTTTCTTTCTTTCTGTCTTCTTTCTTTCACTCTTTCTTTCCTTTTTACATCTTCCTTTCTTTCTTTTTCTTTGTTTGTTTGTTTTTTTCCATCTTCCTTGCTTTCTTTTTCTCTCTGTCTTTCTGTCTCTCTTTCTTCATTTCACCCTTTCTTTATTTATTTCTCTCTTTCCTTTTCCGCCTTCCTTCTTTTCTTTCTCTCTCTTTCTTTATTTTTCTCTTTTTCTCTCTTTTTTCAGTATTTCTTTTTTTTTCTTTCTTTCTTTCTATTTTCCATCTTCTTTGTCTTTCTCTTTATTTTCTCTCTTTCTTTCTTTTTTCTCTTTCTTTATTTCCTTCCTTAATCCTTTCTTTCATCAAAATCGTCGTGCTAACTTCTATAAAATATAAAATAACATATACAGTAATTATAGGTTTATATGAACATTCGATATTAATTATAGAGTTACACTTTATTCATGAAATTCATAAATTTAAACCTGTTTAGAGACTAAATAAATACATGTCCAATAAGTTTACCGATATTAATTCACTGTGAGAAAAGTTCACCTCTGAGAAATTTCACTTTAAAGCGATAACCATTAACCGGGATCTAATTTTTTAACGGGATCTTGTTTTCTTGATTAAAGGATCTAAAACTGTTTTTTTTTTTAATAGGGTAAAATTAAATAATAACTGACATTATGCGTTTTAAGTTAATTTAATCATTAAAACTGATATAATGCGCTGACTCTCTCGAGACGTCATGACTACAATTATCTAGATAAGAAGAGAAACTATTTGGTTGTGGCATATCAAGCAGAACGAGGTGTAGAGCAAAGATGGCAAGAGAAGAAGGGACAAAGGATTTCGTAGATAGATAAAGAACGTTATCTGCTTGTTACTTGCAAATAGCTATGAAAAAGTATTCAGTCAGACACGCATTTATGCATCCACAGAATTAAAAAATACTACATATTCCTTATCTCTCTATTTATATAGATATATATATATATTCCTTATCTCTCTTTTATATATATATATATCCAAGTAACATGAGAATATATATATATATATATATATATATATATATATATATATATATATATATATCCAATATATATATATATATATATATATATATATATATATATATATAAAATATAGAAGAAAATCAAAAAAGTCATGGTAACAATCAAGATGAGGACAAATGTTCATAAAAAAGACTATGCTAATTGTAATATATATATATATATATATATATATATATATATATATATATATATATATATATATATATATATATATCCAAGTAACATGCGAACGAATAGACTACAAATATTACATATTCTTTATCTCACTCTCTTTCTATATATATATATATATATATATATATATATATATATATATATATATCCAAGTAAGATGAGAACGAATAGAATACAATTCCAATGTTTATACATTTAATTTAAAAGAAGGCTCAGTAGAGAGTACAGGAATAATTATTTAGCCAGTAATTTACAATCGCCCGATGAGGACCATTGGTATACGCCGAAACATAACTGCAATTGTGTAGCGATTTTAAATGATGTTTTAATATCCTAAAAAATCTGTCTCCCTTTATATATATATATATATATATATATATATATGTGTGTTTGTGTGTCTGTCTCTGTGTGTGTGTGTGTGTGTGTGTGTGTGTGTGTGTGTGTGTGTGTGTGTTATATTTAACGAATGAAGTTTTAATTTGTAATAGGATATTTAAACTGGAGAATGTTGCATGCATTATCAGCTTTACTTAG